CAGGTAAATATCCCTCATCCCCCTAAAAAGCCATTTTTAACCATCACAGCATAATAATTTCTCTCTTCACTGAATCCCAACAATACTTCTTGCCTGTGTATTCATTATAAAATTTCATAAGTATTCTTCAAATTTTTTTATTCATGATTTATATCATTTACATCTTAAACTCCTTAAATGTAGGGATCTTATATTACCAGTTTCCATCAATATGCATGCACAGAGCAGTGTCCAATGAGGGTTTATTTATGAGAAAACACATTTTATATGCAACATTGTAGGATTTCAAAATTTTTGAATCTTCTGATGCTGAATTATGAAGAAAATTTCTTCACATGTTCCAAAAATAATGTTTCAGTGTTTAGTGACACTTTGGTTGAGGCAGTATCCTTTGGGACATGATCCAAATTCTAAATGAAATATTTAGTTTTATACAATGAACTTCTGTCAACAAATTTCTTGAAAAGCAAATTACTTTTGACTTCCTCCTTGTATATTTGATGAGAATTGTCATAACACCATCAGGTTGAAGAGTGAGATTCTTAGATGAATAACATCTCTAAAGGTTATTTAATGTTAGAAAAAAATGAATCTTGTTCACCAAATGTTCTTTTATACAATGTAATTAACAATTTTATCTTTACTCCATATGGTTATCATTATAATCAATTTTTCCATTCTCTTTAACTGCATATGATCTTGTCACACACATTTTTGTATTTTGAACATTTCCTCCCCCATAAAGGAAGAGCTTAAAAGCATTGGGAGTAGAAATTCTACTGTAATTTTGATATTTCTGCTTGAAGAATATTTAAAAATATGAATTCTCTACTAAGAGAAAACATGAAGTAGGATGACTCGTTATATATTTCAGGAATGAAGTAAAAATTCAGATCAACTTATCTTGGGATAAAGGTCAGTCAGATAAATCAAAATGAAGTGATCTGTTTGCATCTATCTATTCAAATCTATTTGCTGTTGGCATATATATGAATAATTAGGGCCAAAGAGAATAATGGCAAACATGTATTTCTTCAATAATTGTAGCAATAGTTAAAGTAATGCCAAAATATTGAACCGTAAGTTTTCAATTCTAAAGTCTGTTATGAGTTAGAACATTATCATAATCAACACTTTGAAGCTTGCACACTGGGATACAAGTTATACTGTAATCATATCACTAACAGGAAAAAAAAAACACTTTCTTAATCACTGTTAACTCAGGAAAAAATCAATATTTCCTTTTCCACTCAAAATGTATGATAAATAAATCTTATTGAAGTGGTAATGCAAAGTTCTCTGGACATATACCTCAGACCATAAGGATCTTCTATATCTAAAGTAAGTGCCAAGGAAGGCAAATGGTGAAACTATTTACTATGTCATAATATATAAAACTATATTCTTAATATATAACTTTTATTAATTTTTGAATTTTTTATAAATTAGAAGTGAGGAAAATTTTTATATTCTAAAAATATAATTTACCTATTCTGATTAAGACTTCTTAATAATGCTGAATTTAATAATGCGGCTTATTTCTTTAGCTGTTATTAGATCTACCATACACTTTACTTTACCTAGATACCTTGTTTATTCTCTTTCTCCATCCCCACCTCTAATATAGCCTTATCAGAGCAGGTGTTATTAACTTGAGGCAATTTCTATGTTTGTGGCGCTTACCACAGTGTCTTAAAAATATCTATTGTAATAAATTAGCATTTTTCAAAGTCTTATAGTGCAAGTCAAAGTGTTAGAAGAAATGATATAAGGATTTTAAATGAGATTTTGAGTTTAAAATCATAACAGAAAATCACCAAATATCAGAACTAAGAAAGATCTTTTATTTTAAACAGGTCTCATTCTACTATCTCATTTTATAAATGTAGAAGTTAAGATAGAGATCAAGTGTTTTGTCAGATCACAGAATGTTGATACTAAAGGCCACCTGAAACTTCATACAGTCAAAATATTTAGAGCAACTTAGCCTTTGTTTGAATACATGCAGTGACAGTGAGTTCACTACTCTATAAAAGCATCATATCTACTCTTTTAAGAACACGACTTATCAGAAAATTTTTTCTTATATGTAATGAAATGTGTATTCCTATGCTTCAATTTTCAATTCTTTTTTTTTTAATTTTTTCTTTCTTCTTCTTTTTTTTTTTTTTTTTAAGATTTCATTTATGTAACAGAGAGAAACACAGTGAGAGAGGGAACACAAGCAGAGGGAATGGGAAAAGGAGAAGCAGGCTTCCCACCAAGCAGGGAGCCCAATGCAGGGCTTGAATCCAGGACCCTGGGATCATGACTGAGCCAAAGGCAGCTGCTTAATGACTGAGCCACCCAGGCACCCCCTCTCTTCTTTTTTAATATTGTTTATGCACCACACGCAGTGCTCCATGCAATACATGCCCTCCTTAATTCCTACCACCAGACTCACCCTTCCCTCCACCCCCCTCCCTTCCCAAAACCTCAGTTTCTCAGAGTCCACAATCTCTCATGGTTCATCTCCCCCTCCGATTTCCCCCAATTCACGTTTCCTTTCCTTCTCCTAATGTTCTCCATGTTATTTCTTATGCTCCATAAATAAGTGAAACCATATGATAATTGACTTTCCCTGCTGGACTTATTTCACTCAGCATAATCTCCTCCAGACCCATCCATGTTGATAACAAAAGTTGGGTATTCATCCTTTCTGATGGAAGTATAATATTCCATTGTATACATGAACTATATCTTCTTTATTCATTTGTTTGTTGAAGGGCATCTTGGCTCTTTCCACAGTTTGGCGATTGTGGCCATTGTTGCTATGAACATTGGAGTACATATGGCCCTTCTTTCACTGAATCTGTATCTTTCAGGTAAATATTCAGTAGTGCAATTGCAGGGTCATTGTAGCTCTATTTTTAATTTCTTAAGGAATCTCCACACTGTTTCCAAAGTGGCTGCACCAACTTGCATTCCCACCAACAGTGTAAGAGGGTTCCCCTTTCTCTGCATTCTCTCCAACACTTGCTGTTTCTTGTCTTGTAAATTTTGGCCATTCTAACTGGTGTAAGGTGGTATCTCAATGTGGTTTTGATTTTAATTTCCCTGATGACTAATGGTCATGAATGTTTTTTCATGTGTCTGTTAGCCATTTGTATGTCTTCTTTGGAGAAGTGTCTGTTCATATCTTCTACCCATTTTTTTATGTAATTATCTGTTTTTTGGGTGTTGAGTTTGAGGAGTTCTTTATATATCTTGGATATCAGCCCTTTTTCTGTAGTGTCATTTGTGAATATCTTCTCCCATTCCATGGGTTGCCTCTTTGTTTTGTTGACTGTTTCACCTGCTCTGCAGAAGCTTTTATCTTGATGAAGTCCCAAAAGTTCATTTTTGTTTCCTTTGCCTTTGGAGACGTGTCTTGAAAGATGTTGCTGTGGCAGTTGTTGAAAAGATTACTGCCTATGTTCTCCTTTAGAATTTTGATAGATTCCTGCCTCATATTGAGGTCTTTTATCCATTTTGAGTTTATCTTTCTGTATTGTGTAAGAGAATGGTCGAGTTTCATTCTTCTATACATAGTTCTCCAATTTTCCCAGCACCCTTATTGAAGAGACTATCTTTTCCACTGGATATCTTTTCCTGTTTTGTTGAAGATTATTTGACCATAGAGTTACAGGTCCATATCTGGACTCTCTACTCTCTTCCACTGGTCTATGTGTCTGTTTTTGTGCAAATACCATGCTGTCTTGATCACAGCTTTGTAGGAAAGTTTGAAATCAGGCAACGTGATGCCCCCAGCTTTTTCTTTTTCAACATTTCCTTAGCAATTTGGGGTTTTTTCTGGTTCCATACAAATTTCAGGATTGTTTATTCCAGCACTTTGAAAAATGCTGGTGGAATTTTGATTGGGATTTTTGATCCATGCTTCAATTATTTAGTCCTAGTTGTGTCCTTAGGTCAAGCACAATATGTTTAGTCCAGAGTATTTTTAATGTTGTATGTTATATATATACACACACAAACACAAAAGTGATGTAGTGCAAAAGTCTAAATTTGAGGTCCTTTATGAATGAGAGTTCTGGGCCAAATAGTTTCTTGCCTCATTATTGTTCAGTACCTCTTTGCCTCCTTCCTTTTTTCACATTCTCACATGCATACACACACACGAGGCATAAACACACACACATATATTAAATTGTTATACACATACACACATTATATATGCATCTATTATATAGAAAGGCATGTGTACTTATATTTTGTGTCTTGTAGAAAAATAAAAAACTTAAATAAGAGTACGTAAAATATATTAGAATCTTTCAAACTCCATTTTCCCTCTTTAATATCTACTATATCAGGAACTATAAAATAAAAACCATGTTATACTCCTCTCATCCTCTAAAAACCAAAATTGAATCCCCCTTCCATATCAAAATGGGTTTATTAAAATATTAAAATTGTTAAAATGTTTCTAGGAATCACTCTTTTATGACCCTCCAACTAATATTTCTAATCTCCTGGCCATTTCCAGATTCATCTAAATCCCACTCTCCCCAGAATATTAAACTTATTTAGCTCTATCTTGACAGGTAGCCTCTAGAACTAAATGCAATACTCTAGATGTGGTCTTACTATGAAGAATAGTGTAGGCTTGTCTCTCGATTCATTCAAGAAAGTATTTTTCCCAATACAACCTATAATTCCATTTGGTTTTCCCATAGCCATGTCATGTCTAACTCATATTAAGCTTAATGTCAAATAAAATTCTTAGTCATTTCCTATATGATATTGCCAAGCCAATTTCCTTTATTCTATACTCATGCAGTTGAAATTTCCTTTGGGTAAGAGAATGGTACTCAAAGTGTACATACAATAATTACTCATATAACTACACATAATATCTACATTAAAAATAGTGTCATTTTCACAGAAGGTACACATTCTGAAAGTTAAACATAAAAATTTGATTGAGGGGCATAAACAAATAAAGGTTGAGACACATATCCTACCTATAAAAACCTGGTGGCACTTGCTGTACGAGGAAGTTTTTCTCCATGTCTTGGAGAATGTCATTCAGCATTCGGACACGGATGGGAATTCTTTCCTTGGGATCATTAGCAGGACGCATCTCATCTGACTGGAATTGTTCAGCACTCTCCCGCAGACGTGAGGCCAGAGCTAGCAGTTGAGTGTTGGGTTGATCACCTGGTGGAGATAAATGAGTCCATCTCAGAAGAGACATCCTCAAAGGAGCAAAATAATCATTCTGCAATCATGATGTCAAAAAGGAACATCAGTTAAATTTTTCTAATTAAATTTATAATTTATAGTTAAATTATAATATTAATCCCACCAAAAATATTCTAAATATTATATTCTGCTAAGAGTATTATATTTACTGCTACCACTACTACTAGTAATAATAATTACTACTACTAATAATAATAATAGTAAATAGGTACTGGTTAGGAGACTGCTATGTTCCAGACACTGTATTGAGTACTTCAAGTATTTATCCTATTTAATACTCACCAAAGTTTGCATTGTCATGTCTATTTCAGAGCACCTGAGAATTAATTAAGACAAGCAAATTGTACCAGATCATCAACCAAATAAATGTCAGGCCAAAATTAGAAGCCTGATCTTTCTGACTCAAAAATTCATGCTTTTCATGACATATCCTATATTTCTGTGTGAAAAAAATAATTATAAAAGAAGTTATCTTCTCTTCTGAGAGCATGAGATATGTTACTCTGTTGTGATATGTCCATGGGCTCCTTTGTTTTACTCAAAATTTCCTGTAATTTGAAGCTAAAATATATCTTTGACTTGAAAGTACACTGAAAACTATCCTATGTAATGTTTACATTGCTTGGTTTTGCTTTTGGGATGATTTTTGTTTGTTATGCTTTATTCCTATTTGTACAACTTACTGGAAGTCATTTTGATATGAATGGTGGCAGCAAAAACAGGACATTCATTTGACTAAGAGTAAGGCAGCATTAGTACAGTGATAATGGCCACCAGAAACTGTAGCCAGACCACATGAGTTCAAATCCCTGCTATACCACTTAGTAGCTGTGTGATGTTGAGCAAATTACTGAGCTTCAGTATCCTAATTTATAAAATGAATAAGATAATAGCATCTGCTTCATAGATTATGAGGGCTGAATGATGAATATTTTATAAAGTGTTACAAAAAGTATTCCCTACAGTTAGGCAGTTTCCAGCTGATGTGACTTAGCACCTTGTTTAAAAAGCAATCCTTTGTTATACCACGAGAGGGGCATTCCCTCATCATCTTCTTCCCAATATTCCCCACCATTTGTGTCATTCTCTGGGTGAGGCAACAGTTGGTGGTGTTGTTCTCAGGTAATTAGGTACAACTGACTCCAGCAAGGTCAGAAACTCAATACAGAGAACTATGTCAAGTCGAGGTGAGGAAATGAACATGGGCCTGATGGCTGTCCTGGCAGCCAGCCTAAGCTGGCTATCCTGAGAGCATGGCATTGATATAAGCAAATGGAGAGATGAGGAAGCCATTTGGGACCTTTGGCTGGGGAAGTCTCAAGCAAAAGGGAAAGATCACAAAGGGACTCTCTCCAAGTGAAGTTCAAGGGTTATCAGATCCTCAAACACCTGGTCTTTGTGAAAATGCAGATTCTCAGACCTGCTGAATCTCTCTAGGCATAGAGCCTAGGAATTTCCATGCTACCCAGATTTTTACCCACATTTTAAAGTTTAAGAAGCACTGTAGAGAACTGAGGAGCTAAGGAAAGATTACCTGGGTTAGAATTACAGCTGATGTATAGAATATGTCTTCATAGAATTATCTAACTAAACATTTATTGTCTTTCCCCTCCATCTGATGGGGACTATTTCACATGTCACTTTCTTCAGAAGCCAGCACAATTCTGACACTCAATAATTGTTTGCTAAATAAACAAAAGAGATTTAATAAAGTATTTTCAGAAAAAAATCCAATAACCAAAGAAAACTGCACAGATATAAGTGGTTTTCATGAGAACTATAAAGAGATTGCCACATTTATATGCTTTCTGTTCACTGACATTAACAATATGAATAAAATTAATTGTAGGAGTTCACAGGTTTTGGCATTTTGATGTTTTCAAAGTACATTCTATATACATTAATTATCTTGTTTGATATCATAACAAAACCTGAGGTTGCGAGAGGAGAAATTTTTGCTCATTGAGGATATTCAGCACTCTGTTATTTAAACAGTTATAATGATAATGCCATTTTATGAAGTTACGGTTTATTTTAAATTGTGATGTTTCACTGAAGTTAATATATGGGGGCCTTATAGGAAATACCATTGTACAAGGGAAAAATAAGACAAAAAAAGCACATTTGAATTATACTGGAATAGAAAGACTGAACAACAGAAAAAAACAAGTTCGACATCTTAGAGTCTTCCACTTAAGAAAGAAAAATCTGTTCTGATCTAACATACACTACAGAATTGAAGACATTACTACTGAATCAGGTGAGACAAATTGTACCATTCTACTTTATTTAGCTTTAAATGAATTTATCTTTCATGGTGGTGAGGATGTAGAGAACTGACAGCTTTAAGAACTGTCTTGTTCCAGAAAGGACCCTGAGAGTGAACGCCTGCCATCTACACAATCCCCTATGTATTACTTCCAGGGTATAAGCTTACAAATTAAAAAGTAGCTTTACTTTCAATGTTCTCTTAATCATTTGTATACATAACTGATGTTCCAAAGATTCCTAATAGCATTTTAATGACAATTAGAACTTATTTGTCCCTTTAAATAAGACCCAGAAACTAACATCACTGACTCTATGTAAGCTGTGACCCTAAATGATTTTTCCCCCATGATACTGAATCCCTGTTAGAATGTCAGCTCTGTGAAGGCAGAGATTGTTGTCTGTTTTGTTTTCGGCCATTTCCTCAGACTAACACTATGCCTGGCATATCACTGAATCATCTACTTTGATCAGAACATTATAGTAGCTGCAATATTTTTATCCTTATCTGCCTTGTCTATCTCCTTTCCCTGACTGAAAAGAACCCCACAAGGTCATCAAATATGTTTTATCTCTTTGTATCTCTAGATGCTAGCACAATATCCAAGACATAATAGTCATTTACTAAAAATTGTGTTGAGTAAATTTCGAATTATAAGGTAATATTTTGAGATATTATACTAAACAATGCCTACAAAGTCACTTAGGGAAATGTTTGGCATATAATAAGGACAACTAATTTTGCTAAAATTCAATAATAATTGCAAAGGAAAAGAAAAGATAAGAAAATAAGCTATTTTAGGGTAATGATAAGTCAAACTAAACTAAACTGAATTAAAATATGGCCTGCCAATAATCAATAAAAAGAATATATAAAACTTCATTTAAGTCACAGTGAATGTCAGAGAATGGAGGACTAATTGAGGCTCTTAACAGTTCAGGTTTAATAAGCAGTAAGTCCATTGACCAAAGAAAATGAATTGGGAGTTAGAGATTTCTCTCAGTGACAGTTAATACAATTATCTTGAAGTTATATGCACACAGAGTCTAAAGACACAGGTCTTGGTATCAAAAAACATGTAAGAGCTCCATCTACTTAATTACTATCAATGTAGTTTTGAATAGATTACTTAATATTATTGTCCTTTAACTTCCTTGGGGAAAAAGAATAGTCATTTCAATCTCTAAGCATAGAAATCACCATATAAATGGAAAATACTATTACCAGAGTACACAAACTAAGTATAAATTACCACCAACTCATTTTTCAGACATGTAAAAAATACTGTAACTAATGATTTTTTCTTAGAGATATTACTTTTCACTTCTTCAAATCAGTGCCCCCACTTCCCCATTATTGTATCACACTCTTCCCTGTATATACTGTAATAAAGATTCCCAATTTTATTTTGTGGTGAATATGAATCTGGAGCCATTTTTTCTTCCCATGGGCTGCATCTAGAACTTCTTAAGAGCAAGGAAAGGGATAATATAAAAGTTAAGGAATTAAACAACCAGACTTCAAAAATGATCCTTTTACATCTTCCCTTCTGGTGAAAAGCCAAAAATTAATAAGTCTAAAAAATTTTTTTAAAGATTTTATTTATTTATTTGAGAGACAGAGATCACAAGTAGGCAGAGGCAGGCAGAGAGAGAGGAGGAAGCAGGCTCCCCGCCGAGTAGAGATCCTGATGACGGCTCCATCCCAGGACCAGGGGATCATTACCTGAGCTGAAGGCAGAGGCTTTAACTCACTGAGCCACAGGTGCCCATTAATAAGTTTTTATAGCATGGCAGAACATACTGATATGTGATAAATATTAAAAATCAACCTTAAGGGGCACCTGGGTGGCTCAGTGAGTTAAAGCTTCTGCCTTCAGCTCAGGTCATGGTCCCGGGGTCCTGGGATCGAGCCCCACATCGGGCTCTCTGCTTGGCAGGGAGCCTGCTTCCTCCTCTCTCTCCGCCTGCCTCTCTACCTACTTGTGATCTCTGTCTGTCAAATAAATAAATAAATAATTTTTTAAAAAAATCAACCTTAATATAATACAAAATAATTAAGACTGCCTGGTAAAATTATCTTGTTATTTAAGAGATAATTGAAATGGACTTCTAAATTTCAAACAGAAACAATGCATTTTTCCTTTGTCTCAAAGTAAAATACAAATGTATTTTCAGTAAGTAACGTATTGAGTCCTATTTTGTGTGGTTTTCTATAAATACTGGGAGGGAGGCAAAGGCAAAGATTAAATCTTCAACCTTAATAAATTCCTAATCTAGCTAGATATAATCCACAAATGGAGAATAAATAAGGATCAAATAAAATAAATGCTCATGAGAAAGACTGAAGAGTTTATTGTGTATAAAAATATCTTAAGTAAATCCAGAGAAGAAGTGATACTTGAAAGATCATGGTATTGCCCAGAAATCGAGGGCATCTAAAATGGACCTCTTGAAGTTCTGAGACTCTTTCTACATTAAAGCAGTCAAGGATGTTACATCTGTAAACAATAATATTAATTGCTACTAATTAATCCCTTAGTCCTCAGCTTTTTAGAGGGTGAAGTTGCCTTTACCTTCAACCCTTCCATTTTTTTCATTGTGTTATACAAAGAACAGATCTGCATATTATAAGCAGTAGTAATATTAACTGTAGAGGAGAGAAGGAGGGAGGGAGAGAGAGAAGG